ACAGAGGTCCAGGGCCGAAGAGGTAGAGGAGGACCTAGGAAAACTTTGGAAGAAACTCTAAGAAAAAACTTAGAGTACTTAGTTCTAACGGAGGACATGACACATGACCAAGCACAATGACGTTTTAAGATTTATGTAGCCGACCCCACTCAGTGACTTGGATTTTTCAAGTCTCCAACAGAGAAGTTTTCCTCACTCGGGAAATTATGGGAACACTACCTCAACCTACATGCTCCACTCACAAAGCTTCAACATACAAGTTTTAACAAAAGAAAAATTCAAAGAACTTGTGAAGAAGACTTTGGTGTATTTAACACAATACATTGAAATGAAACAAAGCTTATTTAGATATCTCTAATAAGTTACAAATATGTACATATACATGAGTCAAAATAAACAAACAAGAGAGAGCCTTCACAACTGCTTAGGAGAAGTCTCAGCAGTCGGTAGAGCCCCAGAAAGAGAAGGCACCGGTGGGGGATCACTCGGAACCTCAGTACTGGACAGAATCCTAGAAGGATGAGACATCGGAGGTTGATCATTTGGAGCTTCATTACGCGGTACATCCCCAGAAGACGAAGGTAATAAATGTCTTTGGAACAAACCCACAAACCTCTGATGATCAAGTAAAATCCGACCATCAGATTCCTTCATCTGGTCAAGCTTCCTCTTCATGTTTGTAGCATAGTCATGTGCGAGCCGGTGCAACTGTTTATTCTCATGTTTGAGCCTTCTAATCTCCTGTTTGAGACTCATCACTTCAGCCGCCAATGATTCAACTTGGCGGGTTCGAGCAAACAGGCGTTGGGCCATATTAGACACAGAACCTGCACACTGAACACTAAGAGCCAGAGAATCCTTAACAGCCAACTCATCAGACCGTTTGGAAAGTAGTCTGTTATCTTTGGGAGTGAGAAGGTTCCTGGCCACCACCACAACGGTCATATCATTCTTCATCACGGAATCCTCAACGATAAGAGGACCAGTAGGGGATAAGAAGGATGGGCGCCATATGTTGTCTGGAGAAGGCGTGGTTGCCTCTTCAACAAGGTTCAAGTCAAAACGACGGTCGGAAGGGCCAGACATTTTCAAAGGTGTTGAAGAGAGAAGAGGTCGGACAAATCAAGATCTTAGAAATGCAAGAAGGGAGCTTCTACTGGTGGAGATTCAAGTGTACTTTGAAACTTAATGCCAGCCTCTATAAAAATCTACACTCGACGGAGCTTCAGAAATCGAAGAGGCCCCTGCTCAGACATCAAAAAGGCGTTTGCTTTCTCAAAAGTTGGGCTGCTCAAAGACCACGAAGGCCGATCTCAGAAATTGAAGAGGCGCTTGTGTTCTCAAAAGCTGGGCTGCTCAGAGACCACGAGGGCCGATCTTAGAAATCGATGAGGCACCTGCTTTTTCAGCCTTGTCAGCACCTGTCACATGCACACTCAGCTTTGCGAAAATTACGGGCATTCTGTCGAAGATTTCTGGTGAAGTAGAAAGCACGTGAATCTTACTGTTCAATCATCCATTTTCCACACGTAACATCAGCTCATGGGTACCACAGATAACTTTGCCAAAGATCTTTGACAAAGTTTAGACACGTGAAGCTTGCAGCTCTCATTACATCGCTATGACCAAGAAGGGTAAAAGAAGCAAAGAAACAGCACTAATAAAGTTTAGACACATGAATTTTGAAGGTCTACCTACCATATTATTACCCACAAGGGTAAAAGAACAAGACCACTGCTGGATAATTGGAAAGTCCCTGTGTGTCAACCTCTATGCTTCGTGGCAAGGTAGACTAGCAAACATGCCCAACCTTTACTCACATTCGAGAAAACACTCCCAACAAGATTGCTTGCTCCAAGATCGAAGAGGCACCGCCCTCCGAATCTCGAGAACTAGACTCCAAACATGATTACTTTCTCAAAAATCGAAGAGACACCGCTCTCTGAATCTCGAGAGCCAAACTCCCAGTAGGATTGTTTTCTCAAAAATCGAAGAAGCACCGTTCTCCGAATCTCAAGAGCCAAACCCCCGACATGATTGCTTGTTCGAAAACCGAAAAGGCACCGCTTTCTCAACTTCGAGAGCCAAATCTCCTTGGATAAAGCTTGTCTGTAATCTTCACACGCAACATCAGCTTTCCAGATACCACAGACCATTTTTTCAAAGTGCTCTGGCAGAGTTAAAACACGTGAAGCTGACAGCTCCCACTACCGTGCTATGACCAAGTAGGGTAAAGGAATAGCATTACTACTTGTTGTTAAGGAGACTCATATATATGTCAACCTTCATCCTCAACGGACAGGCAGACTTGCAAAAATGCTCAACCCTTCCTCATATCTGAGAGGGCACTCTCAACGAAGCCTCTCGAAATACTCTACAAACAAGTTACACCAGAGCAAGAATATCTCATATCATCAGGGTTAAAAGCAAAAGTATCTCATATCATGCTTTTTCCCTGTCTTTTCCTTTGGCCTTGTTCTTACCTGCAAGACAAGGAGAAAGAGAGCAATCAGTCAGCACTTGGAATCAAGTTTCCAATCAGGAACTGACTGCCTGGAACCCCTTACCTGATTACTTACTTGGCATTGCTCTCGAGTACTCATCTTCAACATCTTATGCTTCAAGAGAAGATACCATATCTGCCTGAGGAACAGATAGGGCAAGTGAGAAGGATACAAGGAAGCATGTGGAGACAAGCGTAACAGAGCACGTGCCGATACATCCACTACTTTGTCAACAGCAAAAGTATCCCATATCAGCAGGGTCGAACGTACTTTGGATTTGATGGACTTATTTTAATCCTAAAATTCTTCAGTCGGCCTTATACTCTGGAGGAAACCAGAAAACCCTCCAACCCAGTTCAAGAATAATCTTGTGGAAAGTTACTTATTCAAAAGCAAAAGTATCTCATATCATCTCTTCTTCTTTTTCTTCTCTTTATCCTTCATGCTGTCTGCAAGATAGGGAGAATGAGAACAATTAGCCGGAACTCGAAATCAAATTTCTGATCTGGGACTGATTGCTTAGAGCTCTGATTGCTTACCTTGTCTGTCACCTCTTTTAGCAGATCCCCTAGCTCGGCGACTTGGGAGACTCCTACTACATGGTTGGTATCGCGCTTGACTAAGCCTGAAACTACAAGTAAGCTTCAAGTGAAATTGATACATTACCTTGTGCATCTCCACCAGTTAAAGATATCACCCCTGGATGGAGGAAGAGTACTTCCAAAAAAGATGTCACATCTACCTATGAGACAGATAAGGCAAGTGAAGACGATACCACAGTTCGGTACTTAGAAGTTTCGTGATTACGAGATCATTTTCCCATAATATTTCCAAATGTCATTTGTACTAAATCATTCACTTGTACTCACTAAAGGAGAGCTTGAACCTATGTACTTGTGTAAACCCTTCACCATTAATGAGAACTCCTCTACTCCGTGGACATAGCCAATCTGGGTGAACCACGTACATCTTGTGTTTGCTTTCCTGTCTCTATCCATTTACATACTTATCCACACTAATGACCAGAGCAATCTAGCGAAAATCACAAACTTAATACTTTTTGTTGTACCAAAGTCCTCACTGATTTTGTGCATCAACAATCCTTAAGTCCTTACCATTTTGCGTTGGTAATGGATGAGTTAACAGGACATATTCAAGATGATATTCCTTGGTGTATGCTTTTCGCAAACGATATAGTGTTGATAGATGAAACTTAGGAGGGGTAAATGTGAAGCTTAACCTTTGGAGAGAAGTGTTGGAATCTAAAGGTCTTCGTCTAAGCCGATCAAAGACAGAATATATGGAGTGCAAGTTCAGTGCAAACGAAGGCCAAAACGAGTTAGGGGTGAAGATCGGAGATCAGGAAATACCAAAGAGCGACCGTTTTCGCTACCTAGGATCTATCTTGCAAAAGAACGGAGAATTAGATGGAGATCTCAACCATAGAATACAAGCTAGATGGATGAAGTGGAAGAGTGCATCCGGCGTGTTGTGTGACCGTTGTAGGCCACTGAAGCTCAAAGAAAAATTTTATAGGACGGTAATAAGGCCGACGATGCTGTATGGCACAGAATGTTGGACGGTGAAGCATCAACACGTACACAAAATGGGTGTAGCGGAGATGAGGATGCTTCGTTGGATGTGTGGGCACACGAGAAATGATAAGATTAGGAATGAAGATATCCGAGATAAAGTAGGAGTAGCCGAAATTGAAGGAAAGATGGGAGAAAATCGGTTACGGTGGTTTGGACATGTGCAAAGAAGGCCTAATGACGCTCCGGTTCGAAGAGGTGACTACGGGACAGAGGTTCAGGGTCGAAGGGGTAGAGGAAGACCTAGGAAAACTTTGGAAGAGACCCTAAAAAAAGACCTAGAGTACTTGGATCTAACGGAGGACATGACACTAAACCGAGCGCAATGGCGTTTTAGGATTCATATAGCCGACCCCACTTAGTGGGAAAAGGCTTTGTTGTTGTTGTTGTTAAAAGGTCATGGATTTTAATGGACCTTGAGTAAAGTTTTTAATAGATTTCTTTTTTCTCAATTCTCTGAATATATACTCCACGTTCCACCATAATGTCAATGAACGACTATCATTATCACTACTTACACCACCACCTAACCATGACTATCTCCTCCATCCGCACCTCCAAAACTATCACTATCGCCGCTGCCACCAACACCGTCATTGCCATAAACATCATCGCCACCCTTACTATGACTGCCACCTTTACTGCCATCATCACCACCCCACACCACCGCCCCCATCCCTACTCCACCACAATCACCGCGCCTACTATTATCGTGGCCACCGAAGACCCCCCAACTTTACTTCCACCGTCTTGCCAACAATAATCAGGTGATACTTCTACTATTATCATAGTCTACCATTATCATAGTCATAATAACAAAAAAAAAAACTAAAAATTATAGCATGAAACTCTTTAAAATTCTGCAAAAGTCTTGCATTTAATTAATTTATTTTCCACAAAAGTATATCATCAAAAGTCTATGGAATTTTATAGAGTTTATAATAGTCAGTAAAAGTTTACTAAATCCGTATAAGCCTATCACTTTAAAACTCAACAAAAGTCCGTATAAATTTTAATACACTACACTCCTCTGAATAAGATGGATGAGAGACCCCTAATTAATGAATCCACCACCCGCATAATATCGCAGAGAGATTTAGATCACTGTGGCAATTGATAATTGTAAAATCTACATTTCACCCAATTTCCCAGGAAAAAAATTGGCTAGTCTACATTTTCATGTTTTTGTTCACTTGACATGGGGGTAGTAGCGTAAGGGTATAAAGATGTTCTAGGACCATTAGGAATATCGTCGTTGGCAAAACCATCGGATTTTTCTCGTTCTGCGACAACCATGAGCATCTCGAGGCGTTTGTCGAAAATCAACGCACTCTCGTCTCTCTTGTCAAGCTCAGCAGCTTCAGCTTCAAGCCATTTTTCTCGCAAGTCATCGAGAAGGTTGCACTGGTCCGTATTGACTTCAGCTCCTGGTGCACTTGGAACAGTAGTCCGAAAAGATGAATCCCCGGATGGTGGAGGCAGAGTCAACAGCATTGCTCGGAACTCACTCATTTCGGCAAATGTCTCAAAATTACAAGCTATGGTATCGAGACAAAATTCCCTTATCTTCGGCACGTCGTACCTACACACAAATGTGATTATCATAAGATTGTAACATGTCTGAGTTCAAGGCTAACGATTACTGCTACCGATCAAAATATCAGAGGAAGGGAAAGTAGGAGTAGGGGATACGGAGCACCATACATGTCTGACAATTGCAGCCAATGGCACAGTTCTGCAGGTGAGGCCTCTTCCAGGTGCGGCAGTAGTACATCAGCTACCGCACGTTTAAGAGGAAACAGTAAATATCTAGCAGCAGCATCAAATAATTCCCCGGCCTGCTCAGTTGACGACGATTATTAGACTAGACTAAAAACATAACACAAACTTTCTGTTCAATAAGGTTACAAGATCCATTATTTCTTTGGAGAACTAATAAGAAGTCCCTCACATAACTTTTTTTATTGAAAAAACACTTGGACAACTTCTCTAATTATTAACTATTAAGAGACAAAAAAAAAAAGGGAAACACACTTCATGAGGGTTTTGCAATTTTGATACCCTTAATGTAATTGTTTTAAGCGTTTTTGAATAAAAAAAAGTTTTGTGAGGGGCTTTTTATTAATTTTCTATTATTTCTTTGATGCTAGAAGCTCCAATTAATATCTAAGCTTACCTTCACCAATCAAATCTATTAGACCTTCAATTTGATGGCACAAACACAAACAATCTGACTAGGTAAACTAAATTTGATGGCATGGTCATTGATCAAATAAATAGCCGAAATGCCAAATTCCGGTCATCATATATTCAAATAACATTCTGGATCATTCATACATATGATCTATTCTCCTTCAGGAAAAAAAATTACATCGATCATTTTCTCAAATGCTTCTGTGCTCAAATCATGAAGGGAAGTTGAAATGGGCGTATCATCTCCATGAACCATCATCTTGATATCTTGAAAGACACTGATGGCAAAATTATCAACTCTTGCACAAACATCCGCAAGATCATTTTCTAAATCATTGATTTGCATGGTACCAGCACACATAGGTTTAGGTTGCCGGAGTGGATGAAGACCTGGCTTAAGCCCTTATCCCCTTATGAGAGAGGCTTCTTTCAGCAAGAATCAGCTTTGTAAAGATTCACATTTACATACTTTGCAGATCCTCACAACATCCTCCATATCATCTACAGCAACCTCTAGTCTGTCTGAGTAAAAGAAATGGATGAGACTGTATAAAGCAGGATACGACAATTTCTCCCTAGCAAATCTTACTTCTTTGCGATGCTTCCAATCAGTCGCAAACTTTCTTCTGAAAAATGGTGAACGGGCACTTAAGATGACTCTGTGAGCTTCGATGGCTCTACCTTGAACATAAAATATCACATCTGGAGGGAAGTAGTTGAAACTGGACCCATCATTGGATTGAAAACCTACTCAGGACCATCAAATGCCCCAGTGTCACTTAACATGCATATCACTTAAAAGGTCGTACCCAGTGCACAAGGCTCCCGCTTTACGCAGGGTCTGGGAGAGGTGAATGTCGGCTAGCCTTACCCCCATTTATGGAGAGGCTGCTCCCAAGTTAACATGCATATCACTTGTGAATGAAAAATATGTTATACAACATGTCCTGACTCCTGACCGACGTTTACATATATGAAAACGAAAAGCATTAATCAACACATTTAGATTTCAGAAAGTTAGAGCCAATGACATCTTCTTTATCCTTACATTTCAGAAAACAGAAACGAAAACAGAAAGCCGTATACTTTTACACCTTATTTAGTAGCATGTCCTGGCTGGCTTTAACATAAATGAAAATGAAAAGCATTAATCAATACAATTAGATTTCAGAAAGTTAGAGCCAATGACATCTTCTTTATCCTTACATTTCCGAAAACAGAAACGAAAATAGAAAGACGTAAACTTTAACACCTCTTCACTACTGAATAAGAACACAAAGGGGTGTCTCAAGCTTCATGCTAACTATGTTTTACAAAAGCCAATCCTCACACTACTTTGGCCAAGACTCAAGAAATAAAAAAATAAAAAAAGGTCGTACCCAGTGCACAAGGCTCCCGCTTTACGCAGGGTCTGGGAGAGGTGAATGTCGGCTAACTACGAAATTCTTCGTCTTACCTACATTAAAGTTCTCATAACCCATTTACTTCTCATAGATATTAGGCGCTAGGTGGCTGACCATCGTCCCGATTAATGCTTAGGCGTTTGAAAATTAAGAAAAGGTGTCTAGACTTATTGAGGCGCCCGTCTAGACTGCCTCGGCACCCGCCTAGCCCGTCCAGACCCGCTTAGGCACCCGCCTAGGTCGCGACTCACTTAGACAGAAAATAGATAACTTTCATTTTGCATTTTATTTTTTTCAATAAATTGTGAGAAACTTGTTGCATACTTAAATAAACACGCATTAGATCTTTGTTCCCCATATTTTCATTATGTTCCAATACTTCATAATATGTATGTCATTTTATTTTGTAGTTTATGATGAAAGTATATATATGTTAAGGATAAGCGGACACTTATTTAACACGAAATATAATAGATTTACTCAAATCCGCCTAGCCCGCCTAAGTCCCACCTAACCGTTAGGCCCTAGCCCACTGCCCGACTAGCACATAACGTCTTTTAGAACCTGGATATTAGGTAGCCAACATTCCAAAAGCAAGCATTTCACAACCCCTCAGCTAACAATTAACACCAACCCATTAATTCTTGTTAAATTTTTGAAACCAACCCATTGCTTCTTGCTGAATTCGAAACCGACCCATTCCAATTTAGAAACCAACATTTCAATTTTCAAACCATTCAATTGCAAGCACCAATTCACACAATAAACAAGCAAAATACCTGAAATTTCAATGTGGGCATCATCAGCCTGCTCCAAATAAGCCCTATTCGCCCCGCATCCCAAGAAGGTCTCCCTCATGGCGGCCTGTAAGGGGTTCAGCGGCGGGGGCCTGGCCTCAAACGCCTTCAATAGCTTCCGCACCTTCAAATTAAGCGCGGCGTAGTGGCATCGGTCGCCGTCGAAGGTGTGCTCGGAGCATATGGCGCCGTTCTCGAGCAGCATCCGGGCGGCCTCGAGGTGTCCGGCGAGGCACGCGTAGTAGAGAGCCACCGAGTCCCACTGGTCACGTGCGTTCACGTTGACTCCGGACTCCAACAGGTACGCGAGGCGGTCAACATCGCCGGCACGTGAGGCCTCGAAAACGTCGCCGTTGGGGACTTTCTTGAGGGCGACGGAGGCGGCAAAGTCGGAGGGGTCGAGGTCGATCCCATCCAGCTCGGGATCGATGGACCAAGACGGCCGGTTTTGGGTCATCGGGTCGGGTTTGGGGGTTTAGTGGGTCGGGGCTTTGGGTGCATGATGGGCGGCAGGGTGGCGGCGGGTGGGTTTGGAGAAAGTGAGCATTCTGGTGTGTTCAGTGTAACGGTTTTTGGATTGAAGGAGAAGGGTCGGAGGGAGATTTGAGTTTTTCTTTATTTAATTGTGGAAAATGAAAAATATCCGTCTTTTTTATTGCAAAATAAAATTCATATTTTTTTTATTCTTTGTCCACACAAAAAAAAAAAAATCGTTGCGGGGAAACTCCTGTGCAGAATGTTATCAGAAAAAGATATGAAAGGGAGAAACTTCGTCGATATTTTTATATATCGGTTAAATATTGATGAAATTCTTTTATGTCATCTAATTTAAAATTTTCATTATTTTCATTGAAGCAACTAGTATCGATATTGATATCAAAATCAACATTTCAACAAATTTGTATATCGATGTTTTCGTTGAGATTTAAGAGTTTCTCCGATATATTTCCAAATCTTTCTTTGATTTTTTCCGATATGTCTACGAAAATATTGATCGTGTTGAAGAAATTTCAATCAGCGTATGGGACACATAAGATTATGATCGTAGCGCTGCCTGAGCATTTATGCACCGGTACAATTGCATGGATCTTCCGAAGAGGAGGGGTGTGATTGTGATCATGCCACATTTCTTCACAGATTACCATTTCTGCATTCCACAAATAACCATTTTTGTAGTTTCTTTTTGTGAGTAGAATAAATTTTCTACAACAAATTGAATTTCATTCAATGAAATTTATAGACACAAACAACGTTGAAGCAAAAATTACAGGGCATAAAAATACGTCAATGCCCGAATTTGCAGCGTATCTAATCATGTATACGGTAACAGTTCCAAATTTACATTCGATCACCTCCTACTACAACATGCTAATACACAACAGGCAGTCTCTCTTACTTGGTTGTTTCGTTCATACAGAAACGCAGATGAGAGACAACAGTTTCAGTTTCTTTCTTCCCGAGGGGAACAATGCCCCTAACAGGGTGCCCGACATTTTTGAAGCTTGATCAGCTCGATGCAGCAAATGCTATTTCTCGTCCAGTTTTAGGGAATTTAGCCTTCTGACTCTCTGATCGAGCTCTTTCATCACCGCTGGTTCTTGCTTTTTCCTTTGCTTTGATATCGTGTTGGTTGTCATTGAACCTATCTGATCAAAGGCCACCTGCAATAGCGTGGATGTCATATTAGATGGAAAATCATTTCAGAAACTGGTATTCACGGATTTGGAAATTATGTGAACCTATCTTTTTACATCAATTAATCATTTGTGACAGATCTGTTCTCTGTAAATAGGGAATGACTTATCTATTTTTATATTCACATTAGTCAAAGTTTTTCGTTAATGCATTTACTGATGGTTTGACACGACGAAAATAAAAATTTCTTTAGGGGGAAAAAGGAAACTGCAGAGAAATGCATTACCGTCAATAGCTCATCAGGATCAAATAGGTGATGAGTGGTTTTCTGCAGAATACTGATTACATCACCAACATGATGAGTTATAAGCAGCTGATCTTCCTTCATCTGCAATCGCAAATCACAAAATCAGACAAACTTATCCCGTATTCATGTCACGAGCTAGTAAATCTGCATAACAAAAAACAAGCAATGTAAAAGGCCAAAGTATAAAGTTCTTGTACCTTAAAGATTGCCAAAGCAACATGAAATAGAACTTTAGCCCCCTCGTAGAAAAGGACATCCCATACCCTTAGAGTAGTCTTCAAAGAAAAAACGAGAGAAAGCCATGGAAGTGTTAGTCACAGAAATTAACAGCATGTTGAGAGAGAGAGAGAGAGAGAGAGAGAGAGAGAGAGAGAGAGAGAGAGAGAGAGAGATTTGGTTTAACCTCAGAAGGCAAGCTCTTAGAAAAGAGGCATAGAAACCACTCGGTGGCCACAAGGGAGACATCAAATTCCATTGCTTCCAAATGCGCCGCTATCCTGAATTTTGCTTCTGATTTTAAATGATAGAAAGTAAAACATAAGACACTTCAGGCAAGTCAGTGAAAGGAAGGTACCTCGGGCACTTTTTATCCAGGAACTCCTTGAAAACTCTTTGTTCAACATGGCATCCTGATAAATTATTTGTATAGCAGTCATTAACCAACACATTTTCCAAGAGGACTGCAAGCATCCAAAATGCATCCTCCTCTGTTTTCATCACAAGCAGTAACAATGCTGCAACATAATTTAAGCCCTGCACCAAGAAGGTCAAGCCGTTCCAGGTAAGTAAACATCCACAGCCAAAAGTGAAATAATTCATATAAAAATACAGACAAGTACAGACCAACTTTGGTGCTTCTAAATAATTATCTCGAAAAAAATACTTGACATAAGATATTATCTGAAGCAATTAAGATAAGTGGAGATGAACTTTCAAGTATTTTACAACACAGCAGCAAAACTCATACTTCAGCGGGGCATAAAACAGGAGTTGGTGAGATAAGGAGTTGAGATGGCTGGGGAAACAACAAAATGGTACTGTTGTAACAATAAGCATTTCGGAAACCATTCGAGTATATGCAATTTTTGTTATTTTCTTTGATGAGGATATTCTCTTTTAGAGAAGAGGTGTGGCTTCTAGATAGATCCAATTGGAACAATGTAAAACGTGTAGTTAACAATTGGACTTAAAAAGGAAGAGTAAACTGTAAAACACAAGAAGGGTGCCGTAAGGATAAACAATCGAAGGGTTGAACTTAATCTGAACAAAAACAATAAAATGATTTACGATTAACAAAAGTAGAATCTTGACATGCTGTAGTTCGGAACATTTATGCTAATGGCAATCACACAGCTTTAAGAATGCCTCAAAGTGTATTTTGAAAGGTTTAGGAGAAACACCTGACAGTATCCAACATCAGAATCACGGAACGAATACCCAACAAGGACGCGTCGGAGAGCAGCATGACCCTCTGGGGTGTCCAACCATGGATGACCGGGGAAGGTCCGGGGCAGGTCCTGCAGATACATCAATGAGTGGATTGCAGAAAGTGGAAGAAATTCAATGGCAATATAGATACAACCTATAAGCTATAACCCTTAGCACTAGAGCAAAAAGTAACCTACTTTCCAAACATTTCCCAAAGGATTTGTATAAGCAGAGACACAAATCCTGCAAACTTGAACATTCCCAAACATCGGCGGATGTGCTCCCCCTATGCACTCAAGCTCAAATTCCCCTCCCCGCAGTTTAGATTAGAATATCACTACTCACTGGTATCAAAAATATTTTACTAAATTGGTCCTGAAATTACTTTATCTCTCAAAAGGGAAGCTTAACCCAAGAAAATCATACCAATATAAAATCAAATTCCAAAATTTTCCAGAACCCACTATTGCAAAATCCAAAAGAGAGCGGGGCAAATTAAGAAACTCACATGATCAATCTGCCTAGTGGCAGGGGTGACCTTGCCCTCAGTGGCCTTGATCAAGTCATCGTAATAGCTCTCCGGCGCGGTGGACTTCTTCTTGGCAGCCCCGGACAGTGAAAACCACACCTTGGGGCGGAGCACCGGCGGAATCCCCTTCCTAATCAGCTTCTTCAGAGTGATGGCATTGGCCAAAGCTGAAAACTTTAGGGAGGATTTCAAGTTCCCTTCAGAAATGGAAGTCTGCAGGTACCAATTTGCACCTTTGTTTGCCTCCAACGACCACCATACCCTCCCCTGCTGCCTCACCTTCTCCCTCACCTCATTCAACACATTCACATCGTCCACATTCCCTTCCACTGTAAACCCATAAAGGTCCTGGAATTTTACCGTCAGATTCGCCCTCCTGGCATGGATGCTGGGCCTCAGGATTGGTATCTGGGATTGGAATTCCAGGGACAGGTCTCTCTTGCTCTGAGTCCCAAACATCTCTTCAGGTATGGGATTCCAGAGGGTCAGATCAAGACAAGGAGAGAGAAAGAGGATAGAGAGAGAGGATTTGTCAATCAAAGAAAAAACCCACCAGCTACAAATCCATGGAATTGGTCTTCTTTTGCAGTCAGAGAAGAAAAAGCTTTGAAATTTGAGCAATTTGTTTGAGTTCTTCAACTAGGTTGCTTACAGATTTGACGAAAGATGAGTTGGGACAAAAAATCATCACCCAAAAAACCTAGCATTTGTAATGGCCATCGAAGTCTCTTTTCTGCTATTAATATATCAACTCTACCCAAAAATATTCAAAGATAAAAAATAAAAATAATGAAAAAAAAATTTCCTTTTATGTCGGCTTATTTTTGTAGAAAAATAAATATTTTCGAAGAAAAATAAATATTTTCAGACAAAAAAAAAAACCAGAGAGAAGGAAAGGTGGAAAAGAAGAAAAAAAAAACCAGAAGAGATCTTTCCTGCAATGTGAAATGCAAATTACAAGAGGGAAAAATAAGGAAAGAAATTGGTACCTGAGATAGGGTTTGATTGTAGAGGACAAGAATATTCTAATTTTGGATTGAAAATTTATTAGTGGAATTGGATGATTAAGAAGTGGTTTTACCAGGAAAGTCCGAATTTTTAGGGACAATTAAGAGAAAATTTGAGCAATTGTCCCTGTATTTTGGAAAATTTGGAATTTTAGTCTTTGAACTAAAAATCTATAAATATTAATACCTAAACTTGTTATAATCTGGAGTAATAGTCATTATCTCTATCTCTCTTAGAACTTCTATTCAAAATAAATGATTGAAAATGACAAGAATAGATAGAAATTCTAACGGAGTTAGCCAAACGGATCATTGCTCCATATTATTACAATTTAGGATCAATGACCAAATCTTTAAGAGAGCGTTGCTCAAATTATCTTAGTAATTAAAGCTTACCATAATAGAAATGGATGGTATGAAGTATGAAGTGGGAAAGAAAATAGTGTAGGAGGAAGGGGTCAATTTGTAAAATAAGGTAGTGTTGTGGGTTTTTTGTTTAAATTTGCTTCTACAAATATATATTTTCTGAACTTTTTTGGAGACAGTTGACACTGAAAGGAGAGAGACATTCGCAATTTCACACCCACTGTATACAGAGTTTCTCTTTCCTTTCCTTCTGTTTTTGGATTCTTTTGTTTTATTTGTTATTTTTGTTACTTCATTTGTTTAGATAATTTTAGCTAAAAAATAAAATTTGAAAATAATAGGGGAAACTTAGAGAAAATTTGAAAATT